AGATACTTGGGTTCCCTTCCCCTTTCCAAACGAATTCAGGAGGTGACTTCCCCTTCCTTGTTACTTTTTTCAAGGTCTTTCTAGGACCTGGAAATAAATTATTTCCTTGTTGTCTCTCTCGCCTGGCTCCCATGCGCTTGTTTCCTCGTGTTTCGCTCCTCACGTCGCTCTGTCACCGTCAGGCCATTCACCAGAACAGGGCTTATGACACGTCTTCCTTGTCAAGAGCTGGTGATGGCTCCTGCTTGGCTCTGGAGCCACAAGCCCCTGTCTGGGAGTGTTTCCTTTCCCATGAAAATCCCTAGGGGCACGGGCTTATTCTTGAGAAGGACCAAGTTCTAGCTGAATGGGAAGAAAATGGGCAGCACGTATCCCGTGTGCATCCCATGCCCCTTGGCGTGGCCAGGGATGAGGAGCAGCCTGAGCGGAGCGGCCTCGTTCCTCCCGCTGGGGAGCAGCAGCAGCAGCAGCCAAGCTGACACCGCGCGGTGACGGTGCAGAGCAGCCCGGGCGCGTGAGGAGCCGCGGCCACCGTCACCAGCGCCAGGTGCCCGGGGCGCCCCTGCTGCGAGGGGAGGCACCCGCAGCGCGCGGGCTCCCGGCGCAGGAGATGCCGAGGGCCCCATGTCGAGCCTGATGAGCAGAAGGGAGGCTTGGAGCAGCAGGTTGCCCGCAGGACCAGCCTCTTCGCTGCGGAAGAGGAGAGTAATTGGGAGTGTTGATTGCAGAAGCATCTCGAGGGCACTTTGAGGGCGCTTTGCTGCAAAGCTCCCTCCACATGGGGCTTGGGAGGGCTCCTTGTTGCGGGGGGCTCTTGTTCTGCCTCCGTGCGCTCCGACAGGAGACACTTCCAGGCCTCCCCCGAGAGCTGCTGGCAGAAGGCAGATGCGCTCTGCCAGGATCGCTAAGGGGGAACGGGAAGGACGGCAATAGCTGCCCTCGTGAGAAAGGTCCATCTCAGGTAGCGAAGCGAGGGGGCCGGCGTGCTGCAGCCCTGCCGCAGCTGCGGTAACTGGAGCGGTTTTAATCCCAGTCTGCCGTGGGCGCTGTGCCATGCGTGGGAGCCACGCGCCACGGCCCGCGCTGCCAGGCTGCTCGCGGGAGCCCCTCGCCCCTGGCCAGGGACTGGGCAGCGGCCACGTCCCTCCATCCTGCGCGCGTCCCTCCATCCTGCGCGCAGCAAGGCTGCCGGCGCTCATTAGCGCAAGGTGACGCCTTCATTATTCCCCAATAATCGTGTGAGCGGCTCCGCTCCGACGCAGCCTCACTCACTCCGCGCAGAAATGTGATAAAGGAAAAACAGGAAGTGCAATCAATGCTTGTAATCCTTTTAAATAAAAAGGTACTTGCTAGTAGCTGCCAACGTCTTTAAAAAGCTGTGATTTCCCTGGAGAGAGCCCTTATCAGCCGTGGCTGCGTGTCATTCTGACTGTCTGTCAATCCATCAGACTTCAGTGCCACTGACATTAAGAAGCCAGGCATTAAGATTATCACATTTAGCCATAATGTAGCACAGATTGTGTTGACATTTGGAAAATATTCTGCCACAGGAACTATTTCACTTCTGTACTCTCTTCCCAAATAAAAGAAAAAGGGCCCTGAAACATGTCGGGAGGAGCCCTGTGTCCCTGGCGGGGCCAGGGTTGTGCAGGTGGGTGCAACATCGCTGTGTTGGGAGCCAGCCAGGACCACGCGCGGCCCCCGGCCGGGACCACGTGCAGCCCTGCGGGCTGGCAGGACCACGCACAACTGCTGCCAGGGCCACGCACAACCCCGCAGCCTGCCGGGACCCACAGCCCAACAGGAGCTGCCCGCGCAGGCACCTGGTACCTGGGCTCCTCCCGGTCCCTGCAAGGTGCTGCCACACGCAGCTATGTAGCAACTGCAGGAATAACATTCCCAACAAACTGGTTAATCTCTTTAAATAACTGTGAGTCCATTCTCCAGAGAAACTTCGTCT